TGGACAATTTTGTTTTTTATTTTTTCTTGTCAATCAATGATAAGAAGAAAAAAAACGATATTTTGATGTAATAATTCAATGATTCATTCATTCATTCATTTATTCAATTATCCATTCATAAGAAACTATTTGAAGAAATTTTTTTTTTCATTTGCGAAAAGAAAAGGAAAAAATAAATAAATTCAGAACTTCAAGGATCAATATGAAAATAATTGATTGTTTTTGTTTTGATTGGAAATTTGATTATTCTATTATCATCATCATCATTAATTCCGTAATTTGAAAAAAAGTGAAGCTAAAACAATGTCCTGTGCCATTGTTCGCAAACAGGATTTTGTTACAAATTTATGTTGTTGTAATGTTTGTTTATTTTTTTTCCTGTATTACTCATATGATGATTCAATCATCAATCAATCATATGAAAATACAAATATTGATTGTTATTGGGTTATTGATCGTTGATTGAGCAACAGCAGTTTTTCTACAATCACAATTTATCAAGGATACGGTTCTGTAAAGGGAAAAAACCACAAATAAAAACAAATTCTGTATAACAACAAACATTTATAATTGTAATTTAGTCATCAAAAATTTGAAAATTTTATCCAAAAATAAATTTTCTCCATTGATAATATCTATAATATCTTTGTGTTGATGCATAATGTCCTTGAAGATTATTTTTTTTTTGATAATCAACACATACTTGAATACACTGGAATGAATATACTTTATCATTTATTCTGGGTTGGCATTCATTCGAAATATAATACAAAAAAAAAGAGCAGCACAACAACAACCGAAAAAAAATAAAGAAAGATTCATCCATCCCACTTTAAGCATCATTTTTATATTATTATCACTATTATTATTATTATCATTATCATTTTGGTGATTGATGCGGCAACAAATAGCAATAATAGTGAATGTCGATGTATGTTATAAGAAGGCAAAGCCAAAATAAAAAATAAACCGGCCCATATTCATTCATTCGGTATAAAAGTATTATAGGATATACAATACACGAAGATTATTCAAGAAATTCTTGTTTTTGTTTTCATTTCATTATAGTCGGAATAAATTATTATTGTGAAGAAAAAAAATTGAAAAAACTAAGAAAACGATGATGAAAAATGGTTGTCCATTTTTTTTTTGATCAAGTGACAAACATCAAATTCTTTATTCAAACAAATTCAACCACATCGGTTCATATCATTTTTTTTCTTTGATCATCAAATGAACAAAAACAAAACAATAATTATCGAATAATGGTTGATCATCATCATCCTCATCACCATAAAAGTAATCATCATCATCATCATCAGACGTAATAAAAAGAAAAATTTAAAAATTTTGTGGCCATTCATATGAACGCTACAAAAAAATCAAACCATACAAGAACAAGAATAAGACGAAAGAAAAACAAAACTTCGTTTACCTTTTTTTTCCATCTTAATTCTTCGGTCGACTTTTTTTTTAAAGAAAATCTTTTCAATAACCTGATGTTCTTCTTCTTTTTCTGGGTTGCTTTTATTACCATTTGGCATATATTTGTCTCCCATCGTGAAATTGGTGACCATGGCCATCACCAACATCATCATCATCATCATCATCATTGCCACCACGAACCTATTGAGCCAATCAAACATTTCAAACAAACCAAACATTTGAAATAAATAAACAAACAAATACATCCATTTCGGTTTGGATTTTTAATTTTCAGATGATGATAATGAAAACAAAAAGGAAAGAATTTTTCATTTTGTTGTTGTTGTTTTCTATTTGTTTGTTTGTTTGTCCATTTAGTCTTGTCTTGTTTTTTTTTGTTTTTGTTTTTTGGAACTTTAAAATGAAAAATAAAATAAAAATTTTCGGAAAAAAAATCTATATGAAATGCAAACATACAACAACAAGGTCGTGGTAATAAATTTACTTCTAAACTTTTTTTTCAAAATAGAAAAAAAAATTATCGTTTGTTTCGTTGATCCGCCATAATGGTTAAATATTAATAGCAAAAATAGAATGACCATCTGATTCGATCTTTTTTGAAAGATGATCATCATTTGTGTGATCATCATGTTTTGTTGCATCCGTGTCTGGTATGTCGTCTTCTCTTTCTTTTTTTGCTTGTAATGGCAATCTTTAAATTTTGAACCTTTTCTAAGGTTATTTTTTTCAGTGTACCTGTTCTATCAATTATTACCTGTATTTTGTGATTGAATTGACAATTTAATTGTTTTATCAATGTTTGAATTCATTCATTCATTCATTCACTTGAATAGTGCAAACGAATGAATGATGGGTAAAAATTTTTCAAATAGCTTGGCCTTTTTTCATGGCTCTTTCTTCGATATAATTTCAATTTTTTTTATCGATTTTAAATTTTTTTTTCTCAAAAGTCTTCATCTTCCGAATTCATTGACTAGATACCGTATATATGTGAAGATTTGATTAGTGAGAAATTTTTTTTTATATATTTGCATGTTTGATTTTAGATTTTAGTTTTCTTAACATTTTGTCGTTTTTTTCCCTTCTTCTTCTATAGATGACAATCTTTTTTTTTGTATATGATCGTGACCTTCTCCAATGGTCACTACGAATGTGAGACACTTTTTTTTTCTTTCAACACAATCTTTGGTTAAAAGGCGACAATTTCAACGGCCAAGGCATTTCTCTCTCTCTCAGTTTCTCTATCAACCAGCTCGAAGATCGATGTTGACCATCACCATCACCACCACCACCACCAACAAACAAATCAGGTCCGATAAGATTTGTCATTCACATATATTATGATGATGATAATAATATTACCATTGATGGTGGTCGTCGCCATCATGATCGTGACCAAAAAACAAAAAAAATTGTCATCATCATCAACATCAAAATCATCATAATGATAATGATAATAATATCTGTAGTAGTAATGTTGTTATATCGTTATTACGGTTTCCTGTTAATGATGATAATGCCTATCATCATATCTTTTTTAAAGATATTTTTTTCTTCTTATTTACAGTTATAATTTTTTGGGAAAAAAATTTTCTTAATCAAAATTCGTCAATAGTTGATTGCCTCCTGAAGACATCCGGGGATAATATTTATTATTTTTTTTTCTCAATGAATTTGTTTTTTTTCTGTACAAAAGGAATGAATGAAATTCCGTTGTTGTTGTTTTCATTGATAAAAATTAAGAAATTTTGTTTTTTTTTTTTTTTGCAGCTTCTGTTTGATTTTTGATCCAAATGATTGAATGAACAAAAAATCTGAAATTATAGGACAACAAAATGTTTTTTTTTCAAATTTTATTAATTGAAAAAACAAAAATTAAACTATAAAACAAAGTTAACGATAATGATGTGAACGAATAATGTTTCCCAAGTCATTAATATTGTCGCTTCAAATCAAATTCATTGATATTGATGATGATAGATTTTATCATCATTATCATTTGAAAAAAAAGATGAAAAATATGTGAATCGTTTTGAACCTTATCAATAATAACTAAACACATTCATTTTAATCTCTCTTTTTCTTTTCTCAATTCTCAATACCTCCAGTATCCAATGATCAGACGTCATCGATTGAAGGTCAAACGAATTATTATGAATTCTAATGTAATTTTATTTTGTAATCTATCATTTTTGCAGCAACAACAACAACAAATTATCGTTCATCTTATAATTGGTCACAAATATCACACATTGATCGCGCCTAGTAATAGATTGATGATGATGATGATAACACATCATATACCATTAACACCACTTTTATATCAATCATTTTTATTTTTTTGTTGTGCAGAATTTATTCTGATCAAACACATCAACACTGCCATCTGTCCATGTTGGAACAAAATATTTCTTTTTTTAAATTTTTTTTTTTTGTAATTTTTATTATTTCTTAAATAAAATATACAGAAAAACAAAATGAATTATGTTTAACAACAGAAAAAAAGATAGAAATTCAACAACATTTGTTAATGAATTGAATTATGTGAAAAAAAAATCGAAAATTAAAATTATTCGATATTGGTCGCTTAAGTGTATGTGTGTGGGTGTAAGTGATGTTTATGTTTGTGTGTGTAATGATTATGAGGTATATTTCCTGAAAATATTATGATGCTAATCAAAAATGATTGAATTTTATATTTCAGTTTTTTCTTCAAAATAAATTATTTAACAATATTTCTAAAGGTTCAAATTGAAATTGGTAACATATGGTGTGGTCACCATTGGTCAAAATAATAAATGTTCATTATGATTGAACGAAAGAAAAAAAATTGATTGATTGATTTGTGAATGTGTTTGGTGTGTGTGTGTGTATAGAAATATTCTGGATTCCATCAGTGATTTTAATTTATTTGGAATTGAAATTCATTTGTTTCACAAAGTACATTCGTTACAGAATGTGTTTCCTGTGTGTGTATATCTTTATATCGGCTAAATGAAAAAGAATAACAAAACTTTGCAATTATTATTATGAATTTAACAGGATTGAAAATAAAACTATAGAAAAAAAATGATGATGAAAATGAAGATGACTATGATGATGATGATGATGATGATGATGATAGGAGAAGGAGAAAAAATATATATGGATTTATATCACGTAGTCATCATTAATTGTAATCAACTAAATGTGTGATTACATTTTCATAATTTACAAATCATGGTACTGTCCATCGAATGATAATCAAGAGAATTTAAATAATAAAAAAATGGTTTTTATTTCATTGATATCGATGATGACGATGAGAATGATGGTGGAATTTTTATAAATGGACATTTTTTTGAATATTGTTTTACACACCATGAAGAAAAATTCTGTGTGTGTGTTTCAGGTATGTATTCGGTATTGGGCGTTTTTCAAGTTTTAGTTAACGTATGTGTATGTGAATTTATTGTGAGAATATAATGTTTGTGTATAAAACAATTATTTTCTTTCGAAAATAATTGATCGATATATATATAGAATATTAGGCAACAAATTATTCATTGAAATATCACCATTGAAAAAAAAATTGGTATTTTGTTTATGTGTTTTCAATAGATAAAAACAATAACAACAATGAATTGTGTTTGTGTGTAATGTTTATATGTGATTTGATAAGAGAATTTTGAAAAACAAAATTTGAAATATGGACAATTAATTTTTGTTTTTGTTTTTCTGTTTGTTTAAAAAAAATTAAAATTTCCTATTTTTTTTTGTATTATCGATTGATTTGTTATCAGGTATCGAATGATGTTGTCCGTAATACATTTGGTGTAAGATAATGTTTAGTATTGCTACTACTACTACTTGCAGTTTGAATTGTTTGCTGTACACCACTACTGCCAATACCGGAAGAATAATTTGGATTTGATGGACTTATATTTGATGTTGACCATGATGGTCTTGATGATAGCCATGCAGCATCATTTGGATGTAAAAATGTATGTTTAGTTAAATGTGATTGTGTTAGTTGATGTGATGGGGATGATGATGATGTTTGTGGTGGTGGTGGTGGCTGTAATGATGATGATGATGGTGGTGGAAGTTGTTGAGATTGACTATCATCAAAACTATTACTAGCATTATTATTTGGAACATTAATATTCTGGCCATTAATCGTTAAATTTTCGACTAATGTTGGCAGTGAACTACGTTGATGTGGATTTGATAGTAGTGTTTTTTTGATCATTTCAGGTAATTGTTCAATTTGTTCATAAATAATTAATAAACGTTCTTCAAGTGTAAGAACTTTTGCATCAATTAATGTTTGTCTAGCATTAATATCCGATACGATTTCATAAACATTATTTTGTAACTAAAATAAAAATAAATAAAAAATGAGATTGTATTTTTAGTTTTTTTTAAATAACACTTTATACAGATACTGATGAATACATTGATTTTGACAAAAATAAAAAACTATTTTTTTTTATTGCAATTGTCAAAAATTGTTAATATCAATTATTACCTTGGCCATGTCGGTGATTGTATTGGCATTGTCCATTAATTTTCTTTGATCCATTTTTACTTTTCGCAAACTATAAAATAAATAGAAATTTAAATTAAATTTCAACAAAACATTTCAAACATTTGACAAACATTATTACCTGTAAATGGCAAGTAAAAATTTTCGTTGATGTGTTCGAACTCTAGATGTGTTGACTTTTTTTGTTAATTTTGTATTCTTATAGATTAACCATGTTTCACGTAAAACATTTGCTGCTGCATTTTTTAGCTAAATTTGGAACAACAACAATAACAACAAAATAAAAAAACATATGCACAAAATAAGAGAGATAAACATACCCTTTTTGTTAGCTGTGTATCCATCATAAAATTGTGTACATGTTTTTCGGCTCGAGTTAATTCTAATTTTCTTGCAATAACAGCCACAACTAATGCAGTACAACCGGCACCCTTTTTTTTGGCAATAAACATTATTAGAATCAAAATAATAATGATAATAATAAAGAATAATCGAAAATAAATTATGAGAATCATCACAAGATTTTTGGGAAAAAAACAGAAAATAAAATAAAATAAAATGAAAAATCAATACTAAAGTGATTATGTGTATGTTGTTCTCATCATATGCATGCATGCATTATAATGAAAATTTCGATTTTCTTGCTTCGGAAAAAAAGATAAAAGCAAATGAAAAAATTGGCCTAATAATTCCAATTAATTAAGTTACAATATGATGATAATATTAATAAGAAACTGAACAGAATACATATAACATACATATCGACAACGAAAAATCATTATTATTTTCAAATAGTCATTAGGGAAATGGATTTATATATTTTTCTTCATTTTTTTTTATCATAATTTTTCTGTTTACTTTTGAAAATTTTATTTCTATTCTAAATGTATATGTTTATGGATTGAAGTTTGTTCGTTTTTTTAGTTTGCAGTTACAATCATTTGATCAACTATACAACATACCATTAAACCGGAAAAGACGGCAATTCCACGGCCACAGTATCTAGAGAATTATCATTATTGTTGTTTGATATGGATTTTATTTTCGTATCAATAGAAAAAGAAAAAGAAAAAAAGATTAAATTAATAATCAGAATATGCAAAAAGGATGCAATTGAAAATTTTGATATCATTAAAAAATAAAAAGTAAAACTTACGTATTAGGCACAATATCACCATAACCAATAGAAAGAAATGTGATTGCAGTAAGCCACATTGTATTCAATAGATTGGCATGTTCTTCATCATGATGTCTATATTATTTATTGGGAAGAGAAATGAATTACAAAGAAAAAAAAATCATTATTTAACAAAAACTATTTTAACTGAAACAATTTTCTTTTTTGTTTGCTGGTCGGATAAAACAAAAGTTTCAGTATATCGGTATTGTTATCATCATCATCTTCATTATCGTATATGAAAATAAAATCAATGTTTTATTTTGGAAATGACAAACAAAACAAAGCAAAACGAAACAAAAAAAAAATCAATGAAACAAAAGATTAAAAAATCTTGATTGAATGATTTAGTATGATAAAAAAAAAGTCAATGGACCCAATAGATAATACATGCTGACAACTGCTAACAAGGACAAGGACCATAAATATCTAAAAAGCATTTATCATTGTCATTTTATTTTTTCATTTTAATGTTATTTATTCGGGTGAATGTTGAATTCAGATTGAAATTAGATTGATTAATATTTTGTTTGTGTGTGTGTGTTTGATCTAAACATTATTCAATTTCAATGATCGTTATAATCGAAACAACAACAAAAAAACCAACCAGGCCAAGATGTGAATGTGATCATTTTATCATTAATAATATTGTTTCCTAGCGTCAAAAAAAGGCGTCATCAAGGATGACTATTAAAAAGAAAGTTTCGTTTTTTTTTGTTCATTCATTTATTTATTCGACCAGATATCATTTCGGATGACGCCAATGTATGTTTTGGTAAGTGTAATGGTCATCACTAACAGAAGATAAAAAGAAGAAGAAAAAAAAGAATCCGATCTTATTTTATTTCAAAAAGACAAACGAAAAGCTATTAAAAGATTCTTTCTATCTTTTCTTTGTCTGACTAATGAAAAGATCATTATATAATCTAATCAGTTGAAATAATATATTAATTAAATTAACATGGAAAACTGAAGCAACAACAACAAAATCCCAAATTCATTTCAAATATGGCCATATGTCAGAACAAAAGTTATTTGTTGAAATGAAATAAATGAAGTTTTTTTTTGTTTGAAATTTCAATGGAAACATCTATATCTCATCAACTACTTTATTTTTTTTTAATCGGATAAATGAAAGAATTAAGAATATTTTTTTGAAAACTTTGATTCACATAACATTGACATTCTTATGGCTGATTGATGTTTGGTAAGAGACATTCAGACAAAAAAAAACAAAAAAATAGGATGGACAAAAAGTTTTTGATTTCATATTTTTTTTTTCTTCAATGTAATGAAATATAATCATTATCATTATTTCATTTGATGACGATGGTTGGACAAATATTGTCTTTTTATTTGTCTCGAAAAAAATAATGATAATTATAATCTAGAATGAAAATGATATCCATAGATTTATTATTTATAATTCTGTGAAAAATTCTATACATTTTCTTTTTTTTGGATAAATGAAAATGATCATAGAATGAATACTTAACAATAACGTCATTAAGATAATGATCATTCGGATGAATCTTGAATAGAAATGTAAATGATCCAACCATAAGAATCACAATCATCATCATCATCATCATCGACAACAGTAGCATAAATTATATGATTTTTTTTTTGATCAGCAAATGTTCGATTACAAATCAATGATCATTAAACAAACATATCATTTGGTATTTTTATGAAAGATTTATTATTTTTAATCACAAAGAACAAATAAAATTTACAAATCTTAATGTAAAATGAATGAAATACTATAGACAACAAAGACTGTTATTTAATGAAAAGTTATTATTAAAAATACCAGATTACGAAAATAAAATATTAATAAATTTCAATGCAAGAAAAGTAAAAACGATTACCGAAATTATAATTCTTTCGGTTTTCGTAAAATTACATTGACTTTATTTTCATTTATTTATTATATGACAATTGACACACACACACACACACACACACGCAAACATGTGACAAAACAATGACAAAAATGTAACACTCAGACCAAAAAATAAAAAGAATGGTCAGACTGATTGAATTTGAACAAATTATTATTGTAATAAATTGAATTGAATCATCCTGATTATTGTTGTTTTTTTTCACATATTTCGAAATAACTGTCACTGAGAAAAAAAATAATAATCGTTTCAATGAATCATCATTCTCATTAAAATTGATTATATTTTCGTTTTTTTTATTATTATAAAATTTTTTACCATTTCTAGTGTTCTGTAAGGCAAAATAACCTGTAATAATAATAATAATGATAATGATCCAGAATCAAGAAAAAAGTGAAAAAGATATTTTTATAACAAAAAAAAATGTCATACAATATGAAATAAAATTTTTTTGTTGTTTGGATCATCATCATCATCATCAACCGGGTTTCTCAAGGGAAGAAAATTGTCGGTTTACAGGTAAAAAAAAATGAAAGTGTAGCAGCCGTTCCTGGAAATTCTTGACATTTAGATTATGAGTTTTTTTTTATTTCTTTGAACATATAATTTTGATTATAATAATAACTGAAAAGTGAATTTTTTTAAAACGATTTTTTCCAAAGAAAAACCATAATCGTATATATAGAATTTTTTTTTGTTCAACTATGTCTCTTCTTCTACTTCTACTTGTTTTCTTTTCATTTTTTAAAAATAATTTGCTTGATATGTTTTTTTATTCTTTTGCTTCATTTCATTTTTTGAAAGAATTTAAATTTTATTTTATCAAGATTTTCATTTGGAAGGTATCTATTTTGATATACAATCAATGTAATAACAGTTATGTCATTGTCAATCAATCAAGCAATGATAAAAATTTTCTATAAAATTGATCAAGTGAATGGGAAACGATGATCGACAGTAGACTTTCAAATGGTAATTATTTTAATTTATTTTGAAAAGAAAAGAATGAATACAAAAAAAAACAACACATACCGTTCACATAAACGCATTGTCCATGATCCAATAATCCATAATGATACTAATACAACCATTAAACATGTACCTGGACAAATTGTCATCAATGTTTTCAATACAAAACGTGTATTAAAATTGATACGATTTAATGCACCAATACTACGTGATGAGGCATCCGTGAATAATTTGCTATGTAATAACATAACACGACATATGAGATAAAGGCGTAAAAACATAGGCAAAGATAATATGACATCGACAGGCACCTTGATTATTATTAGTTAAAAGAATAAAATAAAAATTAATGATCAAAAATCAATTCTTGTTTGTTGTTGCTACACTTACCGTAACCGATCTGGTTTCAAAACGTCCACCATGATTGACAAGTTTCGTCGTCCAATCGAATTCATATTTACCCGGTATTGGATGTACAGAACAAATGAATAATTCTAAACATATTAATGCAATACGTTGTGATGTCATTGCAATTCGCCAATCTTCCAGACAATTATCAATCATGAATAGCTAGAAAAAAGAAGAGTTTTTTTTGAATTTAAATGTTGTTGTTGTTGTCTAATTAGTGAATTTTATATTAAAAAAAACAACAAAAAACATACCTGTACTTCTAATGAATGATAGGCAAGAATTAATCCTAATAATATTAATGTAGAAACAGTTATTAACGTCTTTACTGCATATGAGTAGACGGAATCCTTGAATGAATTTAAATTTTTGTTTTTTTCAGCACCAATAATGATAATAAAAACAGAAAATAAAATAAAAAAGAATTTTGAAAAAAACTCAAATTAGAATTATAATGAAAAAATCGTTATTCTTTCAGGACAGTAACATTAATTATGGCCTAATCATTAGAGGATAACATTCATTCATTCATTTACAAAGATAGTTATGCAAATTTAATTAATTTAAATATTCATTATTCTTGGAATTTAATTAATGAATATGATTTGAAAATACTTTTGGGGATAGCCAATAAATTAATGACTAATGAATATAATTTATTTTTGTTTTTTTTTGGTTTATTGTTGTTGATAATTGGAAGAAAAAAAAATTATAATTTTTAATTAAAAGTAAAAATGGACATTCAAATGAAATTCTTGATAAAAGCCCGAGAATAATAATAAGGATTCTCTTGCTGAATGAAAAGAAGAAAAAGCGATAATTCAAAAACATTATGAATAAAATGAATGTAGAAAATACAAACAATCAATGATCATGAAAGAAAAACCGACTAATGCTGAGCAGTAATCAATTTGTTGCAAATGAAATCCGACACACAATTTATTTGTGATAATGATCGAAATTGATTTTTTTTTTGTTTCCACTATTTTCACTCAAAAATTTTCAATCATCTGAAGGGATTCATCATTATTATTGTTCAGTATTGGAATTCATTTGATTTTGAAAAATTTAAGCTTCTGCTTCGTTCTTTTTTTTGCAAACATTAGCAGAAAATAGATAAAATTCTATGATTTGCAAAAAAAATAACAAAGCCTTACACAGAAATTATTCATTCAATGATTTATTTGGAAATAGCTTTTCTTTTTTGAATCAAAAGTTTCATCAATGTCCATTGATTCGTTTTTTTTGTTTTGCTAAACTGAGTGTTGGAAAAAAGCAGAAATAAAAAAAAATTACAAATTTGGTATGCAAAACAAATGTATCAAACACTTCAAATCCGAGAGAAAGAGAAAAAATATCTTCATTAGTTTCCTTTTTTTTCCTATTGTTTTCAATACTTTGAATAAATCAATGTTGCTTGAAGAATTTTGGCAAGAATTGTTTGTTTTTGTTTGGGAAGCAAAAAAAAAATTCTTTTTTTTTTAATTGCATGAAATTATTCGTCTTTTTTTGCATTTTAAATTATTGTTTGTTTTAAATGGCTCTTTTTTTTGCAAAACACAAAAAAAAATTCTTTGGTTGCTACTAATTCTAATAATCCATTAAGAGATATGTCGTATTTTTTTTTTTTTGTTCTTGAGTATACCAAATGATATATGGTTGTTTTTTTTGGAATGTTTGTTATAATGGTAACAATTATTTGTTGGGTGTTTGTGTCTGTGTTTGTTTACAAAGCAATTTTCAATTCAAAAATATATACGAACATTATTTTTATTTTTGAAGAGCATCATTCATATTATACTACAGTAAAACTAATTTCAATGTTATTTATATAATGAATGAATGAATGTATGAATAAATGAATGAATGAATTAATTGAAAACATTTATCATTAGTAAGGATCATCATCATAATCATTATTCTTATTCTCACTTCTTTAATCCAGTCATTTTTTTGACATATACAACAGAAGAAAAAAACAATTCATTTTCCTTATTTCTTTATCCCTTTACTTCATCATCATCATCATTTACATTTGATAACATCCAGTCATTCAGGATTCAGAGACAAAATAGAAGATTCACAGAACAGAAAATGGAAAACAGGGCGATTCTGGACATTTAGTAGTAGAAAAAAAAAATTGACAGCCCAAGAATATTAACCAAGACAAAATGTTCAACGAACCAAACAGTGGAAAAAAAACAACAACAAAATGATTGTTGACAATATAAAATAAATGAATGTAACACGACATCAATATAATAGATTCTGAAACAGAAAAGTGGAAAAAAAATATATTTCCATTACAAATGTTAATGATTGCCAAAATCGATAATAACAACAACTGAAGAACAATTTCATCGTTGTTGTTCGAGAGAAAATGTTTATTTTACAGGTAGACGATATGATCGTTTTTTTTGTTTGCTGTTCATTTCGGTAACGGTAAATTTTTAAATTCTTTTCTTTTTTTTTCTTCCCAGACAAATTCATCAAAGTGGAAAATGATCTTTTTTTTCTGATTTGAAAAACTTTTTCTTTTTTTTTTGCTACTGTTTTGCCATTGTGTTCACATAATGATTCAAGCTCAGTATTCTATTAATATTAATTAAAATCATATTTACAAATTTGTACCAAAATGATAGGACATTAATAAAAGAAACTTGATTTTTGTTGTTGTTGTTGTTGTTGTATTATAAAAATAGAGGTTCTCTATAGTAAACACTTGTGTGACATATGTTTTTTTTTTGTTCGTGTATATCATGATGGCGATTGTAAATTTTCCTGTCAGGTCTCTATGGTTACACTAACATAAATATCAAAAAGCAAAAAAAAAAATTCACCAGAAATTTAACCATCTGAACCCGAGTGAAGAAAAGTAAAAAGAGAATTGAAAATTCTGTAAAAAAAAGTGAAAATGAAAAACTTGTCAAACAGTAAAAAAAACAATGTTATCAAATGATACATTATAGATGACGTCTCTTTTTTTTATTTCGAAAATTTTCCCTAGAATTTCTTTTTCCTATAGAATTATTTCCTGAAGGGAGATAAATAAATTTCATTGAAACTTTTGATGATTACTTATCCATCGTTCGAATCTTTCACATGAATGAATATAAAAAATAGGTATTATAATAATAAAAAATTTAATTAAACATAACTGAATTAGCTTTTTTCTCTCACTCTCTATCTTGAATCGAACTACTGATCTTTGATTAGAATCGAAATCGAAAATATATTCGGGTTGTTGTTGTTGTTGTTTTTTTTCAATATTCTTGTTTCAATTTGGAAACAACAACAAAGTACAGGTATTTTTTTTTTTTTTTTTGATTACAAATAAAGAATATTTAGCACATTTCGTCGGCATAGTAATCAAAATGGATTACAATCTGATAATAAACACTATTCACAATTCTATACATGTTATGTAGAAAAATTCACACCATTTTTTTTTCTTCATCTTTCATTTCTCTAATAAATGAACAAAACATAACGGTTGAAAATAGTCAAAATGATATAATTTTTTTTTTGTTGACAAAATGAATGGAATTATATGAATATTAATGTGAATGAATGTTAGGAAAGAGAATATCATCAAAGAAAGAAAAAAAAATCAATCAATGACGGTTGAATATTTGAATATTTGAATTCATTGATTGAAAAATAATTTAAATTTATAATACAAACCTTTTCATAGATGTGTGGTAATGATAATTCATTTTCAAAAACCATTAATAATATACCCAATAAGGCCATTAATAGTGAATAATCACTGATTCGTTTACGTTTTTCGAATAGGGCCTTACGGCGACCTAAACGATAGCCCACATTGGGCTTATGGAAGCCACTTTTATTTGTTGTGGATTTTTTCTTGTCACTATCTAATGAATTAGAGGCAAATGAACGTTGTGAATTGAATGGTTGTGGTGATCGATGATCAGTGGTTGCATTCATTAGAGGTGTACTAGCATCGGCTGTAACATCTAATGAATTTGTGGCGATATATGCGCCCTTATCTTCAGCTGGCATTGATAATGTTGATGCATTTCTTAACTGACGAAATTGACGAAGTGCACCATTGATTCGTAATGAATCAGCTGCAATTTCAGCAATTTCATTATCCAGTACGGATGTACGATGATGGCCTGAATATTGACTTGTAATACTATGATTATGATGAAATGGATGATTTTGTGGTTGATGATGATGATAATGATGATGATGATGATATAAACAGTTTGGCGCACAATTCTGTGATCGAAATAATGTCGTTGTTGGACTGTACACTAGATGCGAACTTAAAGCATATGGGCCTTGTGATGACAGAGGACACGAGCTCAGGTAGTTAGACGATGTACCCGAGTGACAATTCGAAGCCATCATAGGTTGTATCTCGTTACAACTACTACTATTGTTATTATTATTGTTATTGTTATTACTGTTGTTGTTGTTGTTGTTGTTGTTATTTGGATTAACATTGAGAGCGTGCGTGGATAATCGCATCGACTCCCGAGATACTGTACGTGTGAGGAAACTATGTTCCAAACGGGAACTCAACAATGAACGCGCATGCGATGGCCAGAGATGGCGCTTGACACGAGGGCTGACCCGACAGACGTATCCGCTACCGCCGCTAGTAACGTTACCAACATAATTAACAGTACCCGAACCAGATCCTACTACTGTACCAGAACCACCACTATTCATACCCGAAGAAGTAGGACCACCACTTATCGAACATCGATGTCCTCCGACCGTCGACGTTGAAATCAATGTATTTGTTCGGGAGAATGAACCACGGTTACTACTTGTAATACTTGAATCACGACGAATCAAACTTGAGTTATTGCTATTTAAACTTGAATTCAAATTTGTGGTTGCCATCATCATCAATGATATACGATCAGGAAGAATATCTGGACAAGAACGATGATTTGGATGATTATTCAATGGCTGTAATTCGATCAATGATGATTGTTCTGTTGTTAGCTGTTGTTGTTGTTGTTCTTGGACAGCGGATAACGATGACAAAGGCGGTGATGAACATTCAATTGAATTTCCATCAATTTTAGAAACAGAATCAATAGCATTTGTCGTTGACAATGATGGTGGTGGTGATATCAATTCGATCGATGGTACAACTGTACGTTCCGGTTCCGAATGCATTCGTTCAAATATCAAAGTTGATGATGATGATGTTGTTGGCTGATTAATAGCATTATAACTATGTGTTAAAAGAATATTTTTTTTATTTGTGCCAAAATTTGATTGTCTTGTTAATAATGATGATGATGTTGTTTGTTTATGTGGATGTGGATGTGGTTGATGATGATAATAATGAGGATGATGTTGTTGCTGTTTTTGTTGTTGTTGTTGATGATGATACATGATCGAATTGAATTCATCATTTTTTTGTTGATTGATTTCATCATTTGTTACAATAACCACACTATTTTCTAATGAATATTCTCGTTGTTGATGACGATTATGATAGTGATTGTCTGTTTCTTGATTTTTATTATTATTATTATTATGTTGATCTATCAATTCTTTTGAACAAAATAAATCGATTGAACTTTGTTGTTGCAGATGTTGTTGTTGATGATGATGATGATGATGAGAATGATGATAATCATGTAATTCTAACAATGATGATGATGGTAATGATGGTGAACTAGGTGGATCATAATCAAATATAAAACATGGTGCTTGTGGTATTGGTGGTGCTGATTTTGCTGTTGTTCCAACACCACCACCATCTTTATTTTCAATATTACTATCAACATCATCATCATCATCATCGGGAAAATAATCAGTAGAAGCAGCAACAGCTGCAACTTCTGCAGTTGTCACAGTTATATTATTATTATTATTCGAACTGAAAATCTGATTATTACTGGTCGTTGTCATAATATTTGCTATTAATGTTTTTGGTGGTACAATTGTAGGCGGTACAATTACCGAATTCGATGTTGTTGCTGTTGTTGTTGTTGTCGATATAAACAAATTTTTCAATAATGGCGTACTACTGATTAATTTTGATTGGTCATCACCATAACCACGATAATTTTTTTCAATTTTTTTCATTTTTTTATTATCATTATTCTTGTCGCCATTATCTTCAACACCATCATTATCATTATCATCATCATCATCATTACCACCGCCTACTTTATTAGCTCCACCAACACATTTATCATTATTATTATTATTGGATTTTGACAATGTTTTTATTGTTGTTGTTGTCATTGCGTCTGTTATAGTTGCGTTTATTATAGTATTTGTTGTTGTTGTTGTTGTTGTTGCGGTTATTGTTGCTATTTCTGATGATAATGATGATGACGATGACACCGTTGTCTTCGTAACTGCTGCTGATGATGATGATGTTGTTGTTGTTGTTGTGGTTGCAGCAATCGTAAACTTTTCATTAGTTTTTGTTGTTGTCGTTGTTGTTTTAGTTTTTGATGAGGACGACATTCTCATTGATCGATTAAATCGACATCTTTCATCATTTTTTTTTAATTCTATTATATATTCTATATATGGTTGTTGTTTTGTTGTTTCGATTCTTTTCACATTTTTCTTCTTTTTTTTGAAAAAATAATAATATTTGCTATTATTATCGTTACCATCGTAACAGAAAATTATGATTTACATTTTCCACAGTTTGTTGTAACAACTATCAACAATGTTGATTGTTATGACCAATTGTGATTAGATTCTATTATTCATTGTTGTTGTTGTTTAGAACGATAAATTACCATTATTGACCGAATATTCTGTCAGCCATTTCATCATCGTCACCTGTATTAGACAGATAAAATATGACAAAAAAAGAACAAGAAAATGAAAATCTTATTTTTCGATAATTTTCAATTTATGTTTTGGGTGAATCATTTTATTCTTAAATCTCTCGCATTATAATCATCATTATCATGAATTCATTCAAACATGCATTATTAATTCATTCATTTATCCATTAAAGAATAATTTTTTCATTATGATTTTTATTAATCGTTTTATTATCATTTAAAACAAAATTCTTTATAATATTGTCTATATGAATGTATTACAATTTTAAAACATTTTTTTTCATACCAAAATATCGATTCTTTATAATTGTCAATGTTGAATTTTAGAACAATAATAAATTCAATCCAGTGATTGATAAAGTTGCAGATTCAAATTGAATACATTTTTTTTCTTTTGTTTCTTATTTTGCTGATCACAATTAATTTGATCAATCGAAACAAAATGTGACAAAATCAAATCAAACTTTTAAAAAAATGATTATCAAAAGCAAAAGATAAAGGCTTTTCAATTGAATTAAAACGAATAACATTCACACATTTGATTGAATGAAATTATTATTAATAAATTCATATTATGATGATGATGATTATCATTATATTATAATGATGACAGCAGCTGTGATGATAATAATGATAGGCACATTATGAAATTAACGCATTAAGAATCAAAAATGATTAAATTAAATTAATGATATATTTTTTCTTTTCTATCTCACTATTTTTTTCAGTTGAATTCAATTGAAGAAATTATTCAATTGTGTAACAAACACACACACAAAAAAACTTTGACAAGAATCTTGATTTAGAATCAAATTAAATTAATGAAATTAAATGAAATTGAAGACAGGAAAAACAAAAAAGGAAGAAGGAAATTTAGAGTAAAAAATATTTGAACAAAAAAGTAAAACAAGAAGGATAGATTCTCAAATAACAAAACAAAACTAAAAAACTAAATAAAACAAAACTGAAAAAAAAATATTTGAAAAAACACGAGTTTTTCAAACTAATTCATTGTAAAAATTTTCTGTTTCAAAATACACAAACACACACATGGCACAGGTTTTTTGTTATATTCTATATTTATTCATTCATTCATTCATTTTTTTTGGCGGGCATAGTCAATGAGAATGATGATGTTTAGTGAATGTTTAAAGATATTGATTCTTCTACATTTTTTTTTCTTGGCTATTCTCTAAAAAACAAGTTTTTTGTTTTGCTTTGTTTTTTCTTTCCAGTTTTCATATTTCCGTATATCTAAACAGAATAACAGAATACAACATCTATTGTATTTGAAGCAAGAACAACAACAACAACAACAACAACATTGACATTTTGAATTCACCATGTATTTATTTTTGCCACTTCTTTTCAATGGATGCGAGATATTTGGTTTGGTTTGGTTGATGCTGATATTTGTAGTCGTTATGGATTTTTATCTCATCATGTTTTTTTTTCTTGCGATTCAATATTGATGTTGATGTTCCATAAATTATTATCGGATATTATAACAAACTTCAAAACAGTATAGAAATAAATTATATTAGTTATACACACACACATGGTATATTTGGTTTTTATTCAATGTTGATGTCATCTTTTACACACACACACATCGTCCAGGATCGTCATTATAAAAACACATGCACAAACACATACACACATGCGGTATATTTTCATTCAAATATAATCCAGATATTTTAACAATAGAAATGATATAAAGAAAAATGAAAACGTTTACGAAGGTTTTTTCTTCTTCTCATTCGACCATTTCGAAAAAAAAATATATTAATGCACATGTGTCAATGTTTGAATCTTTTTTTTCTGGTTGTATTACCATTGCACGGCAGATAGAATCACGAAGCAAATGAAAGAACCAAGAGAGAGAGAAAAAAACAATTTTTACTATCATCAGAAATATTAACGAAAACCGAAATGATAGAGGAAGGAAAAAAAATACTATGAAAAATATACACAGTGTACACATATAGTGAATTCTGGAGCAACTCGGTATATGATTATTATCATTAATATGATGATGATTATCATCATCATCATCATCATACACCGTAAACATACCCACATCTTTTGATTTTTTTTTCTCTATTTTATTTTCCTTTATTTTGATAATATGAAAGTTTCAATGAATGGAAAAGAAATTCCCATAAAATGATGTTCTGTGCTATATGTTATTTTTTTTTCGTTCATAAGTGTTGTGTTTGGTTTGTTGTTGTTCAATATAAATATCATAGTTGATCTTTCTTATTTACGGAAACTAGAAACCGGGAAACATGAATCTTTAAAATGAAAGAAAAAAAATCGAAATAAACAAGATACAAGATTCATTTTCCTTGTTGACTTTCCACAGAATTGAATGAATGAATGAATGAATAAACTTGATTAGCAAATAATGTTTTTTTTCTTCAAATTCTGTTGTTGATTACGTTAACAAATTAGATTAGATTAGATAGAATAGATATCTATGTCAATCGCCAGAGGGCACCGGAGTTTTGTTTGTTTGTTGATCCATTTTTTTTTGTTGTTGACCAAAACCAGAAATTCTTTGATTGAATTCGTTTTTTTTTATTTTCTTAAGATTAAATTTGAAAATGATTTCATAAATAATTCATCATTCACATAAGAAACAACCAACAACAACAACAAAAAAGAAAGAAAAAGAATAACGATTTTTTGTTCGCCTGTTTATGATTCCTAATGAAATTAATTTTTCAAAACGGTCAAGTATATATGGTGGAAATCATAACAAAAAAAAAGAAAAAAAATTCAATTAAACTTGTTTCAATAAATGTTCCTTATACATCATTTTTCTTCTTCTTCTTATTATTATTATTGAGAATCACGATTTGAGAATGTCAAGAGAAAACATAAAATCTGCTTCAAATCAACACAACTGAAATACAATAATAACATATCGATAATATAAACATAAACCAAATATTTCGATTAGATTATATTTTTTGGGTAAACAACTTGAGTTTATGGTTTCATTTTACATTCTTCAATAACAATTCATCATTTGGAATTACAAATAATGAAATTGAATAGCAAAAAACAGAGCGAGAAAAAAAAATCAAAAATTCATTGCAATCGTCAATCAACAACAAAAAAAATACGATGACCAAATAGAGAAAACAGTGAAATACAATTGCCAAAATAACAATAAAAGAAATTGACATTCACCCAAAAAACAATTCTACAAAACAACATTGATTGTATGTAATTTTTTTTGTTTTTCCTGTTTGGAATCTAAATCAGAGTGAAGAAGAAGAAGAAGAAAAAAGAAAATATCAATCGGAATAATGTTACATTTTCGATTGTAAATGTTGTTATTTGTTAACGATAAACATCAACATAGTTTTAGTTGTTATATTTTTAACTGAATTATATGTTAAACGTCTGTATCGAAAAAATTTTTTTCTCCATGTAAAGAAAGTGAAATGTGAAATTTTGTTCACACAAACACAAATAATAAATAAGTGAAAAAAATAAA